AATCAAAGCCTTAATTGTAAATGCATCCTTAACTCAGCACTGTTGATAACCAAAGAGCCAAGGGCTCACTTTTGTCTCACACAACACAAGGGGTCATACTCCTCTCTTTGCTGAACAGACACAGTGACACCACTGCTTTTCACATTTCAAGTAGAAATTCAGTCTTCTCTATAAAAGTCTCATGTAGCCTAATGTAAAATATGGGAATCCCTTTCTGTACTGTCTTTGAAAAGAAGAAACCATTGGTATGGAAGGAACTGACAAACACATCCATAGTAAAATTATCAATTATCAATTAACCTTGGCCCACAAACTTTGGGTTTCTCAAGTAAATTCCATTTCCAGAGCAGTTTCCAACTACTTTAGCCAACAGCATTTAAGCTCTGCACCAGATTGGGAGTTTTTATTACTATTGATGGGTTAAAGGCGCTCAGGAAAGGTTACTTTGTCAACACCTTAAAGGTAGAGGCTGATAGACATCAGTCACCCAGTAATTGAAGAAATGTAATCAGTGGTTGGAAGTCAATTTGTAACCAATCTTTAGATCCAGTTCCATCTACCTGACTGCCTCTTTCTGAGACAGTTTTCAACACTCTGTAAACAGTTATTGATTGCAGGCTGTAATAAGTGGTGAAGGGATCCTTACAGTGGAACTATGGCAAGAAAACACACTTGAAGCAAAGTGTGGTTTGAACTTTATCATTCATTCATTCATTCCTTTGTACTTCAGTTTCACATTTGATGCCCTTAGTAATCGGTAAGTAATTATATTATGGACAATAAGCTCTATTACAGTGCTTAGGATTTTCTTGCAGTTTTGGATGTTTCAATGTATGGATAATACAGTAACCTTAATTTTAAAAGGGCTCTTATAGATACTGCTGATAACCAGAAAAAAAAGTTTTAAAACAGCTTATTTACAAGTGAACTGAAGCTCAAATCACATTAAGCCTTCAATAAATCCAGCAGTAAGACATAAACCTGAATGGTTTTGCTTAGTGTGGTGCCATGGTGGTAGTTGACAACACACTGGGCATGGTCAGGCTCCCATTCTCCCCTGTCACACCCCTCTATAAGCCCTTTGAGGTTCCTTTTCTTTATCTTAGACACACACACACTCTTCCAAGAGTGGTGATCACATTGACCCCCTCGGGATAACAGGATACATAACTCCCTATTCAATTACTTCTGGACCCTTTGCCTTCAGAGTCTCAAGTTCATCAAGTTCATCCCGTTGTCCTTACTGCTGGGAGCCTCCTGCTGCTACTTCATTAGGCTACTGTTTCACACGCAACCAGTGCCTCGGACTCCCATGTCCACCTCCAGCCCGGACGTCCTCTTCCCCAACACCACCTGTTGGGTTCACACACACACTACCTACATCACCGAGTCTCTTCAGCACTACACACCGTGCCGAGACCCAACACACTGTCCCTCTCTAGCAACACTCACAACCCCTCTCATGCCTCTTACGCCCTTAGGCTGTGAACTCACAGCCCTGCTCTCACCCCCTAGCAGGACGCTGTCCCTTTAAATCTTTCAATGATCTCATAAAGCTGCGCTTCTTCGGTCAGTCTCCTATTAAACTGACGTTTTCACTCTTTTCCTCGCAGGTTATTCCTCTCACACCCCCTCCGGAATTGTCGCTCTTCTCCACCCGTTCACGGGGTGGCTACTACAGCGGCTAATCAAGTCCTTGTTCACTCATAAACTGCGGCACGCTTTTCTAACGTCGCCCCGACTGGTAGCGTCACACACCCGCTACTGTCATACTTCAGACCGGCTCTCTCAGAGCAGAGCCTCCGCGTTTGCCCGCTCACTACAGCGACAGCATGCCAAAATCCTACCGAAACCCCCTCCCCCACCTCTTCCAGGAACTATTCAAGCTGGTTTTAAACCACTTCTACACCTGCCGCTCATTCAATTATGCACGTCAGGTGTGGTTTCCACGGCAACGCGTCTCTCTAAATCCGGGGCTCCGCCCTCTACACCGGACTCTCCCTGTATTGCACCACAGTAGGTAACAGGTCTCAGTGTAAGATGTCATTATCTGAAATTCACAAGAGTAAATAAATCTCTGATGATGTTGCATGATGCAATTGATGTAATAGTATCACTAACTGTCACAAATGCCATGACTTTCTCTAGATCTCAAAATATTTTCATAGTAGCAAATTCATAGTAGACCTACTCTGACAGCATGGACAGTGGGGGACCACTGATTTGCAACCCTGTTTGTATTATTTTCTCATTAACAAAATCAGTGTTAATTAATTTATAAAAATAAATGTATATAGCACTTTTAATTGCAAAGGATCCTAAGGCACTATGCAAATAGGACTGGATCTACTTCAAGCACCACAGATGTGCAGTACCAACCTTAGTGATCTGCAACACTCATCATTCTAAGCTGCCTCACTATACAAAAAGTAGGTTGAGACAGAAGAAATTTGCCTAACTGAATTAGGGTGGGACTTTTAGATAGGGCTTAATTATGTACACCCAAATTGCCAAATTTGACAAACTAAAAGTCCCCAACGTTTTCAAACGTAAATATGACTTATATCGCATCATACAGAAAATAATTAGGTCAGTTAAACTCTGTTGGAAGAAAGACAAGAATACTCAGAGAGAAAGGACATTGTTTCAGACACAGTTCTTAGAAAAGTTAGTAGCTATAGTAAGTTGTTAAAACTGGAATGTTGAGCTTTGAATGATAACGTGGTTTCTGTCACTATGAACAGCTGTCCAGAATCAGTAGACATTTCTTTGTTAGCTGTTTCTCTGCAGGGATTATTTGGATTAATAGGATTATTCAGAAGCATCAATCTGGCATGGGTGTCCCAGTTGTAAGAACAGGGCTTCATAACACCTGGTCTTCGTGACCCCAGCTCGCCTGTTTGTTCTCACTCAAGCTGTCAATTTCTTTTTTTAACTTTTTCATCGAACTGGTTTGATTTTCCATCTCTAATCCGTAAGAGATATTGTGTGGAATACCTGAATTTTGAAACTTTTTAGCTGATGAAAACCATGACGTGGTCTCAACAGAAACCTTATTGATTGAGATCACAGATGGAATGAAAACCACCAGGCACTGGGGGCCCTGGGGCTGGGAGTGAAATGTTCTTTGGATTGGGAAAGTCCTATCTCCATGTATACTTGGAAGCACTGACTTTGTACCTGGTGTTTTGAACGATTTAAGATAATGTTACAAGAGTAGGCCATTTGGCCCTAATTAACGCAATTGGTAGTTAGTTGTTAATTAAGCCAATTTAGGAACAACGGGAGAGCTAGGAACTGCATGCTCCTCTTTTTTCTCAGTTCCATTTTCACACGGTTAAACCTAGTTTCATAGGCTGAAAGGCACAACACTTGCATTTCAATCAGTGGGCACTGGAAACTTAAACTCAATTAACTACAGTACATCAACCATTCACAACAGTGTTCGGAAGTCATTAACACTGGACACTGGAGTATTGAATTCCACTTAATCCCTAATAGCCAGTTCTCACTCTTCACCAAACACTAGAATATTAGCAACCACTAAATGTTCTCCCAAATCCTTAACTTCTAGCTGATCCTGTTTGGCCAGGGACATCGCTCTTTAAGCAGAACCTAGGTCCCTGACTGTCTGTTTTCTCTCACCCCACTCTAAAACCACTTGTTTATTGGCTGACATCAAGACTGAGAGTATTTAGGATTCAACTCACCTCAGCGGTGCCTAGGAGAGGAAAGCACACTGTACAGTAACAAATTACGCCCAATTCCATCATGAATAAACACCTTTTGTGAGCCCTAGTTCAGCTAGTTCACATGTGACACCCCTTTCTACAGGCTGAGACCATTGATAATGGTAATGCCACCACACATGCTGCTTTCATTTACCTTTTCTTAGTCTCTCACCTTGTCTTAATCTACTCTTCACATCTCTCTTATTATAAGATTATTTGGGCACTTAAATAAGACACTTCAAACCAAATTGTATTTGTATGCTGTCTTGTTCTCAGTGGTTTTCTTTATTTCTTGTTTGAATATTTGGACTTTAAAGAGTGAGTGCTTTACATTTCTAGCCTTAAGTCTAGTTTGACAGTTAGTCTTTCATTTTTGGGCCTAATCATTTACCACACGTACAGAAAAGCAATTATTTTTGATATGCCATTTTGTTTAATATTCCTGCTGTATTTTGTTTTTCTCATCCCATGGGGTATGGATTTAAACCATTATTTTCATTTTTCTGTATTTTATTTTAGTCGAGAAACTCCAGTAGATTAATTACATGCCATTTGTGACTTTCTATGCATCATTGTGCAGCTCTCTAAAGTTCGCCTCATCTTTTTTCAAAAACATTTTTACTTGAAAATGATTCTCCTGGAATAGTTGCCTGCTTGTCAACATCTGAAACCCAGTGTGACTGCTTGTTTCTGTGAAGGTACCCAAATGAACCTCCAGCTGTTTCAGGTCTAAGGATAATTTTTCCTTCCTTTTCCTTTTTCAAAGTGAGATTTCCAAAACAATCAATGGAAGCAATACACAGTGTGATTTTGTTACTGAATACACATTTCAAACTCAGTTTTTAATTATGACAAACATGGGACACTTTTATACTTTTGTAGAGTATTTTGCAGCAGATCCGCTCATATTGTGCTTAAAAAAGATGATGGTTGAAAGTTTATGACCAACCCACCACTATTTGTCAAAGATAGTGAAAAATTTAAAGCAGTTGTTGAAGAGTAAGTGGATGGGAACTTCTGTTTATCATCCATAGAAGAGTGGTATTGTTAAAAAATCAAACTTAATAGTCAAATGTTTGCTGCAAAAAGTGATAAGGAGGACAGGAAATGAGACTAATTGCTGCTCATTTGATGTTTGCGATCAGTGAAGCACTGTAAGGTATTCACACACCAAAGGAAGTTACTAGAAATTGAAAGGAAAACCATAGGTCTAAGAACAGTTTTTGTTTATTGCAGTCTTGTGGGGCACCTCCTGTGAGATGGGCGAAATAAGTGGGGTACCAGTCTCCAGAACTACTATTAAAAATGAAGGAACAGGACTGATTGATTTTAGCTGATTGAATCCCGTTTTTGTTGACTACTACATGGAAAGTTTGTTTTTTGGTGTTGGTAAGTAGTTTAACAACTGTACCTAGCTGATGGAGACAAATTAATTCATTTCTTAGAAAAAAAAGCTCTGCATTTTTTTCCTTCCCATTTTCTGTTTGCACTGAATGTCAACTGCTTTTGCCTAGAGGTATTTAAATAAAAAATAAAGTGTGTTTTATTTATTTTACGCCGCTCTGGTTTCTCTGCCAGTTTGTATAATGACCCCTCCGTTGAAAGAGAATCAGATATCTGTTCCTTTATTTATCACAATAAAACATGGTATCTAAAGGTTTCACAGATAAATCCTTTTGAATAAATATTGCACAATAGAAACTGACACCTCAGTATATTAGTTTTACTGGTAAGAAATTGATTCTACATTTCTGTTTGGAGATTTTTTTTTTCAAAAGTAAACCAAGTATTAATTTTTGTAAGAAGAAGTCTATGTTTGATTTTGTACAATTGGGTAAAGGCAATGGTGTTTTCTGCTTTAAACGCATAAAAGCAGCTTTTGGTGCTGTTCCAAAAAAGTCTTTACAAACCAAACATTAGTCAAGGATTCTGTGGTTTGAAAATCTTAGAAGATTTTCACTTTGGCTCTATATCTAATGCTGATGAGTAGATTATAATCCACTCCAGACACACTACATTTGCGGTTCTTGACTCACACCTTAGCCACACCGTTTGTGTTTGTGTGTCTCAAGACTCTGACGACAGCTATTGTGGATGTCTTCCCCTTGGTCTTTCGAAAAGAGAGTCCCGGCGGGCGCTTCTCCTACCACACAGCGTTGTTTCCTTCCTTATTGGGATCTGGTTGGTAACTGAAGTAAGAGCTAAGTGTCCCCACTTGGTATTTTTCTGAAGTGTTTTTCAAAAATAATTCCAGCGAGACACAGAAAGGAGGTGGTGAGATTGTGTGTCTCGTGATTTGAACATCTAAAAGCAATGAGAGAGCATCTACAGAACCATTCTTGCTGGAGGGGGAATTAGGGAAAACACTCTGAGCCCGTCCATGGGACACAACTGTGGTGAGCCCTATGATTTCAGATCAAAAGGGTAAATGCAATTCTCCATGGTACACACCCACAGTGAGTTGTGAATTACATTACACAGCATAATCAAGAGTGCTAAGCAAGTATCTGATAAGTAAAGTCTTTAATAATTCAAAGCATTATTGTGCATGTGGGAAGATAACGTGAGCTCATGCGCTTGCTGTTTTTGAAAGTGCTTTTAGCCGATTGCTAGCTGTCCTTATCATACCATCACCATGATGACCCCAAGCAGGGAGAAGGACAAGTTCAGAAAATAGTCATTGGTCTCTTAGCAGAAATATGGGGGGAACTGGTTTTACCTCCCCAGATATCACGGAAACTGCATCTGAAATGGAAATTGAAAGAGTGACAGGTGAAACAAAAAAAAAAGCATTCTCCCAAATTAAAAACTGAATATGTTCCAGTCATTGTGTATCATGGTACTGTGCCATTCATCTCACAATTTGAACAAATGTACTGCCAATGGTTTTGGCTCTCTTTCATGTGACAAACTTGAAATCTGACATGAGAAAGCAATGCATGGAGTTTGGCAAAGCACTGTGTGGTGGGTTATCTCATGGTATCAAAGATGTAATTATTTTTTTTTTTCAATTTTAGGGTGTCATTAAAAATTAGTCTCAGAAGGAATCCAAGTTATACTGATATTCTCACTCATGGTGGGTTCACTGAGCCAAGCTTTTGTAAGCTAAAAAAATGATCCAGAATAACCATGTTTCAGGAGGGTGAGTTTTTGTTTAGTCAGCAGTTTAGATTATTATTATTTTATATTTGAACATTCGCTTTTGATTAAAAATAACGACTTTTAACTGGGTTTGTATTATTGCAAGAGAGTGAATACTTTCACTGTATATCATGATTTGCATGGCTGGTTATGTTGTGCCTTTGTGCATACCCTATCATTATATGACCATATACTGTATGTTGAATATAACAGGATTCTGGTATTCCAAGTTTTTTTTTTAATATGTGTAAATTAAGGGGACCTTGCACAGACTGATTTGCTCTATCCCACGAATCCTGTGCAAGCAAACCCAGCCCATCAAAAGCTTCCATACACCAGTAAACTGGTGTTCTAATGCATAGTGATACAGCCAGAGCTTTGCCCACCTTATTTTTATAAAATGGCCTGAACTAGACAATTTGAAACACAAAGAGTTGATTAAAATGCTTCTGTTCTTTTCTGTTCCTCCAGGGTGGACAATACCCTTTTCTATTTGGTTGACAACTATGCTTTCAGTGGGGCATGTTCTTTTTTCATTGCCACTTTTGAAACCATTTGTATTGGATGGGTATACGGTGAGTTCAAACATTTTTACAGCTGTTTCTAAGGTTCCATTTTATTTTTAGTTTTTTTCTTAGCTATAAAACTGACACCTGTTATCTTAAGTCATGATGCTCTTCTCAATTCATACTTTTAAAAACTCTTAAGTGATAAGTACACCACAACAGATCTTCATGTATAGGATAGCTCGTGCATAGCTACTGTATGTCATCCCATTTGTATTGGTTTATACAGATTTCTAGAATATAACAGGATAAAACAGGCTAAAGCAATTTCTTTAAACAAATGAACACAATTTCAAACATTTTGCTTTAACAGAACTTAAGTTAGCTAATGTGTTGCCCAGAGCTGTAAGATCCATTTCAATCTTTTCAAATTTGATACTTTTTGTCATCCACTTGATTACAGTATCTTATTTAAGAGAAATGGCACCACTATCTCTAATCACAAGGAAAGCTGAAAGTCTGCATTTATTTTGTCGAAGTTTTTGTAGATTTTTGCAACAAGACATTTCTCTTTTGAGTTCAAACACGCTACTCATTCAGTCATTTTAGACTAAGCATCTACTGTAATGGACCAGGCCCTTACCCTAATGAGCCGTTTGCAGAGCCCGCATGCACAAAAAGTTCTGGGGGAGGACCGTTAGATAAGAACATCACTCAGTACCACTAGCACCATTCATGCTAATTACCGTAGATGCCAGGTCAAGACTTAATTACATTGATGTAAGTGCCATTCCTATCCAATTAACATAATTAATCCCCACTGTGACTATTTACAAGCAATTTAGAAGCCTTGTAGCAGCCTCCAGTGGCAGGTTGCTGCAGTTACAGCCTTTAAACCAGCTGACCTGTCTAAGCCATATGGAGAAAAAAAACTACTGCCATTCTAGTTACAGTGCCACCTGCATCAGCTTAAATCTTTATTTGTATCTACGCTGAATTGCCTCACCTGGCAGTTGGGTGCTTCCTGTTTTTGCAGGCGCTGACCTTTTCTGCTGCAGCATTGCGGATACGATGGGCTATCGTCCGTTCAGTACTGCTGGCTCTACATAACCCCAGCTGTCTTGCTTGGTAGGTGTTTTTCCCCCAATCCTTTTAAATTTGCGTCTCTTCATCGTTGGCTCCCAGCCATCTATGGGACAGGAATGAAACACAGAAGTCAAAGGGACCTTTTTATGGACACTTATTTGGTATGTACTTCTTGTACGTCTTAAACTCCAGTACATGTTTTCTGTTTTATCAGTTAATTAATTTTAAATCTCCTTCATAGACAGACTTATTGATGGGATTTCTTCAAAAAAGGACTGTGTCCTGGTTTGAATGATTTATTTTATCTCTCTTGTTATATTTATAAATGTTATATTGGAAGCTTTACATATTGTCAAAAAATTCAAACAAAATTGAGGCTCCCAGAATAATCTTCTGGAGTAGCTGTTGTTAAAACCCTGGTAGAGAACTAGATCATTAACCTGGTTTTACTCTGATGACACACTGTGCACCGCCTCTCTGAGGAAATGCCAGTTACATTCCAGTAGTGACGTGACCCAGTTTGGAAATTGGGTCACCTGGGTAATAGAACTGAACCTGCCCTCCCAGCGAGCACTTATTTTATTTCTGTAAGCACTCAGAAACCCGCTGTGGTCTCTAACTGATGTGCATTTATCAACACTAAACGCTGTATCATTGGTATCAGTGGGTTAGTTCATCTGTGCATGCAGATGAATTTTCTTTGGAGTTCAGCTTTTAGCAGCTGCATATTCATTTGAGTGGCTCTGTGAACTTTTGCTTCCTTGGTGGAGCTGATTCTCCTGCCTGTCCCATTCTTCCTCAAAGGCACATTGATCCTGTCCCTGGTCAGTTACACTTCACTTAAGCTTAACGGCACCTACAGTATGTGTGCCGAGACTGGGCATACACCTTGGGCTGGCTCTTCCCCTTTTCCTCTATGAGCTGGATTCCTCTGTGGGTGCTCTATAAACTCATCTGCACTCTTTCCTGATTTGATTAGGTAGATGCTGCACTTTGCATCACCTCACCAGTAACATGCTTGTCTGGTGCTGGTGTCTCTTCAGCATTTGAGTGTGCTGTGTCAGTCTGCCCAGGACCTCCCACTCACTTGGAAACAGGAACAGAGCCACTGTCTTTTAAACACTGAACCCAGTGCTCTGCTGAGAGGCAGTAAGACCATTTGCAGAATGAACAGAACCCCAGAGCCCCAAGCAAAACAGCCTCTGTATTATGAATAAAGGCAATGCCATCTGTTCAGAGTGACTACTGAAGGGTATTAATTGCTATTATTTGTTGCAAAGAAGAGTAAAGACAATAGCAGTGGATTGGGGGTGTGGGTTCTACTGCTAGCTTAACATATCCCCCTAAAAAGGGCACAAAAACATAGTGAACTAAAATGTACCAAAAATATGTTTTTTTACTAAAGGCTATAAGCATATTGGCTTATCATTTGGAAAACTATTCTTTCTCTGTATTTGTCTACTTGATATCAAAAAGTCATTTGGTCTATTCTGTGCACCACTTGATGATTGGTTTCATTTTTTCTAGAGTAATTCTGTATTTCTTCAGAGAGCTAAACATTGAAGTATAATTACCAGGTAGTATGAATGAATTAGGAACCACTGGCACTCACATTTTCAAATGATGGTATCAAGTAGTTTCTTTCCAAGTCCACGGAAATCAGCATACGCTTGCAGAAAGGTCTTGAAATTACTGGAGATGGCATGAATTATGGAAGTAATAAAGTCATGCTTAACTGCAAGTGATTGTCCAGACTGTTCTGTATATACAATGTACATGTTAAGTATTTTTGCAATGTATAAAGTCATTTATTTTAAAGACAGATTTAGTTGGTTTTTTTTAATCCCATTCATCTCGGTTATCTACAGGTTCTCATAAAAAGCAGCTGTGAGCGAAGAGGTTTTGGAAGAGTTCGATAAGGTGATTTTGTGAGCCTGAGCCAGCAAGCCAGTGAGAATCAAACATTAACGGCACGGGTTTCCTGAACTCAAGAACAATAGCTGTAATCTACATGTCTGGGTAATAAGCTTTCCTACTTTGCTTTTAATTTTTTTTTTTTATTCAAGAACTTTCTCAATATGCCCATACTTGATATTTTCTCTTCGTGCGGCTCCTCTTTCCTGGAAGTGTTGAAAGAAACTGTGACAAATCTATCTGTAGTCTCTGAGACAGAGTAGCAGGATGTTCTGCTTCATTTTATTTGTTTACACTCTCCATAAATCCAGTTAATTTGCCACACTACCATTAGGTGAACTGCACTTGAATGTTATTTCTGTTCTCCGTTGTATATGTATCTCACTGTTACCACCTTGAAAATGTCTATTTTTCCGAAACTCTGTAACATCATAGCAAATTTTTTTTCAAAGCTTGGAATAACTCAACTCAAAACTCCACTATGAATTGATTGTTTTTCTTTACCTAAGTCGCCTATGCAAAATAAAAGAATTGACTTCCTCTGTGTGTGTTGTTTGAGACAAAGGAGTAGCTGTTGCTACATTATTTGGAACAGAGATTTTGAATATTACAGAGGCAAAACTGTCCTAGGACCAGTTTCCAGAACAATGCAATGCAATTTGTAGATCCCATTATATGAAACCTGTCCTATGTCCTGTCTCTTTTTTTTTAATGGAAGGATCCAGCAGTTTAAGAGACAAGTTTCCTTCTTCAGTAATGCCTTCCGAGGACATCCCAGTTTGTTGAATTAAAAATGATGCATACACATTTTGTAAAGTGATTTTTTGTGTAGCAGTTAGTAAAATGTATTGCTTATATATACTATATTCATCCATCCATTTTCTAACCACTTTAGCCAATACAGTGTTGCAGGGGAGCTGATGTCTGCCCACAACAAGCAACAACCACAAGGCAGGACACACCCTGAACAGGACAGTCCATCACAGGGCAGATACACAAACACACTCGTACCTAGGGCCAGATTTTCCAGAAGGCAATTAAGCTTCATTATGAAGTCAGAGGACACTTTAATCAAGTCAAGGGTCAAGTCTAGCAAACGGGCACTTTAATAAGACACTACTTTTGTTTCCGATGGTTGTTTGCAAGGTGCCCCCCCCACAGCACAAGGTACTTGTCTATTGATGGACAACTCTATACCAAAAGCAACAATTCACCCAAAACGAAATAATTTGCAGATCTCTCACATTCATTATTTGGACAGTAATCTGCTTTTGTTTTTAGAAAGAGCAGCCATTTCAGTGCCAGACCCTGTGGTACTATGTCAGTGATATGAAATGCAGTAGCTCACTGATTATATAAGACAAGTGATTTGAAGCTCAGCAGTTGAAGAGCAATTGATCTAGCAGATTCATGGCCAATAAATGGATTCATTACTGCCATCTGAGTCTTACAAATAAAGAGGGAGAAATCTTTTTTGACATGCCTTGCTTCCAAGAATAATTGGAACTAATGAAAGCTTTGATGGCAGCATTCTTCTTGACATTTAGTTTCTTATTAAATTTTTAAACATTTCATCCTTTGTTCTGGAAAAAGGCAAAAATTACTGCCTTATTTCAATTCACAAAGAGCTATTGTCTTGTGACACCAGATCAAAGGGTTGATGGGACATTTGTGATAAAATAAATGTAAATGTTTTTTGAAACCTTCTTTCAAGGGGAACTCAGGTGTATTTGCCTTCTACTTCCACATTACTTAATTTCTCCTGACCAAAAAAAGTAAATACAGTATACTTATTTGCATACATTCTTATATCAACATTTTTATTTTTTGGCAAATTATTTCATGTATATTACAGCTCTTATAGATAATACTGTAGTCTTAGTCATTTTAATACAATTATACAAAACTGTTAGAAAAATATTAATATTCTTAAGTGTTACTTTAGAAATGTTAATCCCTGTAAAAACATCTTATTTAAATACAAAAGCAAAGAAGATTTACATTTTCAGAAATATCAAAGATGTACACATTTCCATTAACTACATTAGTTTCAGGCATAACCAAATTGTCACATGTATGAGTCTCACAGAAAACAAGAGAAGCAGCACAAAATATCACTTTTTACATTATATACAATATACTCATGATCAGTGAGCCCCAGCATGAAGCCAGTCATTTGGAATGGCTGTAACACTAGAAAAGACAAAACTGTATTTAATTCAGATCTTTGATTCCCAAAATCTGAGCCCATAAACCACATCAAATATTAAATATGGAGACATTATGTGTTATGTAGGACATAGGCTTCAATGTGTTTAAGGCTTTGTGTGCCACAAGTTAACTCAAGGGACACTTACGGATAAACTAAAGGGAAACAAAGTGTTTCACAATGGGTCATAGACCCATCTTGCTTCTGGACAATTAGGACCTGCAACAAAGTACTGGACATGCTATTTCTGACTTGCAGGTTGTTTATATTCTATATTTTCTACTTATGAGCATAATCATTTTGCGTGGTCTTTAAATGACATGTTAATGGATGGAAAGAGTGCTTGTTTATAAAAGGTAAGAAAACGATATCTTCAGATTATTAACTCATTGAAAGGCACACTTTTTGGCTTGTTCAGTGAAGCCACAATACGTACATATATAGCTCTAGCAACGATGATTTCTATTTGCAATTTAAACAATCAATGCACAGCTTAAAAACCAGAAGACACGACTAACATCCCCAACAATATTTACAATGTTTCAATAGCCATCAGCAGAGAGGAGTAGATTTCTGTAAAGCTCAGAATCATTTGATATGGTTATGTGCTGCATCCTTGGAGCCCTTCATGACAAGAATCTCTCAGAATACATTCTACAAAAGAGTCCACTTTTGCTTGACTGAAGAACTTTTGCGACTGATTTGAACAATAACCCATCACTTCTGTGCTCCTAAAATCTACAGCAGAATCCACAGCCTTTGTTATGACAGCAATTGCAGCAGTATCTGCAGAGAGAAAGGTGACTTTGCCTCTTTGTCCGCAACTTGCCTTCAGTCTGCCAAGAAAATCAGAATATATGATTACTTAACATATGACAAATTCTTGAAGCCTGTAGCCCAGCCTTCTACAACACAATGAGCACATGTGGATATAAGATCACTTTAAAGGCCATATACAATTTTCTTGCATTATGACTTTGCCTTTTCGCATACCCCAACTTGCTCTCCATGAGACACACGGACAGGGAGAGAAGCTTGGGGTCAGAGTGCAGGGTCAGCCATTTATACAGCACCCTGGAGCAGTTGGGGTGAAGGGCATTTCTCTGCCAGCCATGGGATATGAACCAGCAACCTTCCAGCCACAGGCACAGATCCGTAGCCACAGAGCCACTGCACTGCCCATATACAGTTTTTCCACAATAGACAAGGAGGTATGAATTTGAGCAGAAGAGTAATCACACCGCAGGAAAGTTATTTTTAAGATCAATGGTTTTCAATGCTACTTAAGACTACTATACAATCAATACAAATAATTTTTTAAGCATACTTCTATTTAATAGTTTCTGTGCTTCCATTTTCTAAGAATATTTTCTAAGATTCGGTTCACTATAAGATCCATACCAGTTATATTATCTGTGATGATAATCCATATGCACATACTGAAAGTTAATTGAATACCCACACATTGTAATGTGGGAGCTTAGATGTTCTAGTGAAATAAAGACACAATATTTAATTTCGAAATGTTCAACTCTACAGACATCTGTGGAATGAATGAAAGTCCATTTAAGTCCATCAAAAAGTGGAAAAACTCACCAGTGATTGCACTTCCTCATCAGCAAAATTCATCTGTACCTCTGCTGGACTACTATGTTCAGCCTCTGTCTCCTGTACTTCTGCCTGTTTAAAAAAGAAGAATTAAAAGTTTTAAAAGAACTATTCAACAGCACAGTGAATAATGTTACATTTTAACTCAGCTGAAAGAAATTAATGTAGATTTAATGTTAGCATTAAACTGACATAACATTTAAAAAGAACGTGTCTTTATTTCAGAGACATTTTCTGTACTGCAAAACACAAGTAGGGGTTAGCCTTTGTTTTATGCAAGGTAATAAAGTCTGGGTATGTACCAGTCATGAACTGGCATAGAATCTGTAAATGGTCATCCTGGAGATTGAGTTATCTAATGTTTTGTGGGAATGTGTGGAGGAGAGTTTATACAGTATATTTCCAGTGAGTTCAATGTGTGAGGAAATAAGACACTTTGATATTTAGAGATAATTTTGCAATGAGACAACAAATACAGTTTTCTCTTTTAATCAGAAAATAAAAATCCAGAAAATGATATAAAACAGTTAAAAGTCCTGCTAATTCTGTTTTGCTTCTAAGAGGAAAGAGGAAAAATCATATACCGGCACTTGCAGATCAGTTTAAATTTCTGATTGGAAAACCGATTGGTAGAAACTAAAGTATCAGCTTACCTCTGCGAATGGGACAGCGTCGCTGCTTTGAATACAGACTGACAGCAGCACGACCAACACCGCAACAGACAGAGCCTTCATTGCGATTGATTTTCAACAGCCTCGCTTGGACAAAAAAAAAGGAAATATCAGGCTATTACAGCTAATATACAGATGATATCTTGTTTCAGCAGAATTTCACTCTTTTGCAGACCGTCTTCTTGCAGGGAGGTGAATGCTGGTCAGTTGCTTGCTCTGCCAATATTTATACCCAAATTCCGCCGGTATTGCCTCACTGTCAAAACTCCACCCTCGCTGTTTACAGTAACTAACTCTAAACTTAAATCCTTGTTACTCAATGCTAGATGCCAACCCCCAACTACATTAACTTTTTTTTTTAATCTTGTAGACTTTCACTGATGACGTGTTTTCCAAACAGCGGCACATTTTTAATAACATGTTATTGAATCTTTTGATGAGTAATGCAATCCAAAATCAGTCTAAATTAAAAGCAGAAAGAACGGGTGTTCAATAAACAACTTCAAGTGGCACATATAGGAATCATTACAAAAGGCAAATAAACTATCAGGACAAAAAGACTACAATAGCGTGCGAGTAGGAATTATAGACATAATACAGCATTTTTAGAATAATTCAACAGCCTATTCCTTAAATAAGGTAAATACCTTCTGTTTGCGAAGTTTAGTCATTTTAGGCATTTGATTTAACTGAATTTCGACTGCATAATAATAAGCCATAATACATGCGGGTTCACTACATATTTCAATTTCTGTCCATTGAGCTTCTCAGCAGATGAACAGTCATGTGGCGTACTGTATATCATTGTTATTCGGAGCTGTTTAGTCTGCATTCTTTTATACACATTATGAGTCACCAAATGCTTTTGGATCTAGGAATTCTGAAAAAAAAAATAGTCCATGCTGAATTTATTTGATTAGGCTTTCTTTACGGCGCAACTTGAGGGCAAAGTTATTCTGGGCATTAATAATTGAAGCGAATTCCCTTGTTCTGTAGGATTACCGTTGACAGCTGTTGGCGGATTATGCGGGAATCCCATGCCTGGAAACGGGAAACTTTGAATTGCACCACCGGGTTCCTTCTGCCTATCTTGCAGAGAAACATGTGGGACTTTCCCACCTAGGGCTTTACTTTTCAAGTTGGTAATAAGCCGTGCACCGCCTTTTCGTGACTTCACTCATCGGAGACCCGTTAAATGGTCCATTTTCTGAACAACATTTGGCAATATCTGTATAGCCATAGTTAGCATTTTCTTAAATACCTTCTCCCGTATCGTTAAACTACGATTACTATCCATCTAGCCTTTTATTTACGAACATAATGCACTTAATGTAAAAATACTACTGCTGAGCCGTCTTTCGGATGAGATGCTAAACCAAGGTCCCGACTCTCGGTGGTCATTTCATGAAATTAGTCCGACAGTCTGTTGGTGTGCTGGTGAGGATCATTGCGCGATTGAAATTTAAGTAAATACATTTAGCAACTAATACAGTAAACATACAGTATTATATACACAGTACAGTATATACAAAACATACAGAGGGAACTGTGTTACAGAACATTTAAAGTGTAGTTTACGCATACGAAACACGTGGTTTATATATTATCGCTTACGAGAGTATGCAGTATCTGGTAAAAACGTTGGACTTGGTTGGAAGTTTATTGTCGGGATATAACGGGCAATTATATTCATAGACTAACAATTTAAATCGTTCAGCACTCTAGAACAGTGGTCTAGTATCCTATGTGCGATATACAGTAAATACTGTATAGGCAACGGTAATGTGATGCAGGAATCATCATTATCTATGATGATTAGGTCGTCAATGATTTCTCAATGTTAAGCGTCAGGCATTGAAAGCTTGACAATGTGATAACGATACAACGACTTTAGTGAAATGGCAGTCACACACAGAACTGGGACATCCTTGCCTCACTGAGTCAATCAGCACACTGGCCTGCTACTCCTATTACATGAGTTTAATTACAGCAGAGATTTCTTACAGGACCACAATAAACTATCCACTAACACAATCAACTACTGGGGTATATTAGGAAGCAATGTATCTCGTGTATATTTTATATTTAGATAGACAATGTAGAATACCAATTCAGTGAAAATATATTTTCATAATCATAATCCACCACTATTACGAATTGTACAAAAATGCTCTACATTTTACTAGTAATCTCTTAAAAACATAAAATGTACAAACTATAGGGGAGACATTCATTGGTCGAAAGACACTGCTTCAACAACATAGCTAGGTAGCTTTAATTTTACTTTGGAATTAGATTGTAATGAATACAGAAACAGGAGATTACCTATGATCAGAGAATCAACTGAGACAAGGATAGAGCTTAACTTTCTCTGTAACCGTGCAAGCAAATATGGACTAAGATGCCTGTCTGTATGTTAGATATTGTTTTGCCTGGGATGCACTTTTGTAGTCGCCCTAGTTGCTCTATTACATTTTTATACAGCACAACCCATGCTTTGAGTCAGAGGAAGTTCAACGAAGAGGACTGTGCTCCATTTTTACGTGGATGTTTTCTAACAGATAAGGACTGAACAGACAAAAAAATAAATCACACACTGGCGTGTTTGCTAAAAAGGAGAATATTTTGATAAAATTATTACAGTGAGATGTCAGGAAAGCAAACTCATTAATGCATTTTAATTTTGGAACGTGTTTTTTTTTAATTCGGTATTTACTTTTTCATTCTCTATTAAAGTCGCCATTATTTTTGCTGAATCATCCTCTCAGTTGAACTGTTGCTTGGCGTTGTGCTGAGTCATTCGAGTTTTGTCGTGTTTCAGCGGGATTGTGAATCCCAGAGTATGTCGCAGTGTGGCTATAGTGCAGGATAAAGTAAAACATTTCAAAACGCTGCATTTTAATATGGCCGATGACGGTGTTCACTGAACTTTAGATCTACTGTGTGCATTCGGGATATTTCTCACATTCTGATTCTCCAGTGGAGATCGAGGATAAAATAATCAAGTTCCCATGTGGCTTTTTAATCTGTGTTACTTTTATTTTAGTAGTGACTGAATTATCTTGATGTCGAGAACCCCTATGTCGCTTGTCGCATGTTTTGCTGAGTCACTCCATCTTAGTCTGCCCTTTCAAGTTTTGGGTGGATTAAAAAAAAAACTCATTTGTCAACAAATCCAGCAGCTATTGACATGTTTCTTTACGCAAACGCTGGCGAAACCACAGAAAAAGACTTTCGCTTGTCCCCGCAGAAGAACCGTACAGTATGTCCTCCCTCCGTCTGTGCCCACTGTTCCTTCTGTGTTACAGGTTCACCGGAGAGCTTAAAGAACGGAGTCTTTCAATATCACTCACTTCCATTCGTTCACTTTGTCTTCCAGGTTCACAAGATGAATAAATATCAGAATTATTTAAAAGATCGACTACGTACATTGAACACTATTGCGGGCAGAGAGTTTACTATATTCTCTTAATTTGGGATACTATGAGTGTTTGAGAATGGATCACAACAACCAATAATTAAGAATAATCACTCTATTAATAAAATAACAGTTGCGCATTTTTTGGTGCAGTAGTCTACATCACACATGGATAATTCAGTGATGCTTTTTTCGTATGTAAGAGGTTTCGCATGAAGGAATATTTGAATCATTAGCGCTTCTACTTAAAAAGGAAAAGGATCACCAGCGACATTCCATCTAAACATCTCAGTGTTTTTAGATTTTTCTTACTGATGAGATTTTGATATTAATCTATTTAAATTTTAAATTAATTTGATTATGAATTTCGTGATCGGTTCTCACACTGCTAGAGATTTCAAGCTATTATCATTTTAATGTAACTTAATAACTACAACGTTTGGCATATGACATTAACGTAAAACAACTAAATAATCAAATCATTAGTTCAATTAAAGCATCAGTTAAATAGCAGCGACTGATAAGGGCTTATGCAAAGCAAATAAACTCAGCTGGACTGGACACCGGCAGACGGCATGATCTAAGTACTGCAATGCCTGGGTTATAGTTTCCACTGCTTTGATATTGTCGATTTAAGCGCTGTGTTAAAATGAGCGCAAAAGCAGCAAGAGAGCACAATGCAGGTGAACCCAACATTTCAGATATCTAATTTGTCTTAAATCCTGTTATTACGTCATAATTGTTTGGCGACGCTTTAAATTAGTGCGTCAAACTCAGTTCCCGACATCGCAGTTACATAGTTGGCCAGATTATTGAACCGCATGATCGTATTACTCATACCTTGACTTTCAGATATTTCATAGATAACCATGCCTTTAATGAAGTTAATGCTTTGAGTAATGGACTGTAAAAGACCTTAAGACATACACTATATATATATAAGAAAGCAGTTAGATTCTTTATCTGCTTAAGATGGTGCAAAACACAGAACTCACGAAATCCTTCAACAGTTGAGTTTGATATGCTTGAAAAAAACTCCATTTAAATCAAGAACAAATCTAATGAAGATTTAATAAAAAGTATTAATCCATTCCAAAAAAAGCTTATTGCTCATGATGATAAATTACTGATAAACTAAATAAGTAAACAATCAAAAATACAATAAATATTTCTGGGGCCTAACTATGAGGATGTTATTTTCAATTGTCCATCAATTCCTGAGAGATCCTTTATATATATATATTATTCCCATTATTACTTTTATCACATCAGAGAGTATTTTTTTCCCCATAAGATATAAATGTAAGGTTTTTAGGTTCAGCTTAAAAATAAATCTTGCTAGTTGTGGGTGTTCCAAAAATAAATATTTTTCTTATTCATATTTCCAAACTATGGGGTGTGAGGACTTCTGACCTACTGTAAAAAATCCAGGATTTTGCAATTTGACTTTGCTGAAGTACTACAGAACACACAAACTACTTCTTTTCTGGTTCATCCCTTCTTCCACGTGGAAATGAGTGATCTACCTTTAATCGCAATTTACAATGGCCTCCTGTTTAGAAACAGTCCTTTGTTGCTTATGGTCCCTATAAGAAATTTAAGCAAGCCTTTGTGCAAGGATACTTGATTTTTGTTAGCAGTGGTCAGTCTAGATTTTTACTAAGAAGTCACAGCTAATGCTTTTTTCAAAGGACCTGTGAACAGAAGCACAAGGTGTGTGTAGAACAAAGAAAAAACTATCTAGTTCTTATTCACTTTCAGGCAGTATTCAAACTGTGAACCAAAAGAT